TACCTAGCCTACAAACCAAAATAATTAATGACCTATATAATAATAATAATAAAAAAAAAGACATTACTCCTATTCGTTTATGCTCTTCACAGTGGGAGCAGATTGCAGTTTGGATTTGATGTGATCTACCACCCACCCAATGACGCTCTGGTGGCATAGTCCATAGGCTAATCCAAAGGAAATGCCCTGGTGGTTCGAATCTACCAGTAGCACCATGGGAGAAAGATGGACACTTTCCTCTTGAGTGATTTATAGCCTCTGGAAAGAAACCCACTGGAGGTCAGATATGAGTTGGTTCACATTTGATGAGTGAGAGTTTTCTAATGTGAAACATACTTTTGGCAGGGAGGAAATGGTTTGAGGTAAAACATTCAGTTTACCATGAGCTGAAAAAATTAATTTCAAGAGACTGAATCAGTGGATAAGACGGAGCCAAAGGATTTTCCATAGAAGCCTAAATGCCGAGAGACAATCCCTGGTTTGTTGACTCCTGAGCAATGAAATAACTGCAACAATTGATATGTAATGAGGGCACCATGAATGCCGAGTGGTGGGGGAGAAGACAGCCTGTGGGAGAAGGGTGAGTACTCTCCTCCTGTAAATATTTAGTCTCAGGAACTGCTGGAGGGTCAAACTATGAGTCAGGATTGACTTAACAGCAGTGTGTGAAATTTGCTTAGAATTTATAAATATTTTAAAAAGAGACTGCAGAGAACGACAGCAGTCAGCCAAGCCCTTATGTTGTTATATGTGACTGTGATGAAGGCAAAAGAAATTCAAGCAGTCTCTGAAACCCCATGAGGCGGCTCTGCTCTCTCCTGCATCCTGTTGGGGCTCTCGGAGGTGGAAGCACGTTCACAAAGGATCTGGTATTTTTATCCTTGCAGATTTTGTTAGGTTAACATAGTACCGGGTGGTATACTACCAGTGTAGTTGTTACTGTTGTGAGATGCCTGGAGTCGAGTATGACCCATACCGAACCTATGAACAATCAATCTGCACTCTGTTCTATCCTGTGCCATCCTCACATCTCCTGACACACTCAAGCCCATCGCCACAGTCACCACGTAAACCCACCTGGTTGAGGGTTTTCCTCTCTTTCACTGACTCTCTCTACCTTTCCAGGCATGATGACCCTCTCCGAGGAATAACATCTCCTAGCAACATGCCCAAAGTAAAAAGCTTCATCATCTTTGCCCTCTAGGAGCACTCTGGATGCTGAACTTTCTCCAAGACATATCTGTTTGTTCTTTTAGCAGTCCATGGGATGTTCAGAACTCTTTTCCAACACCATAGCTCAAAGGCATCAATTCTTCTGTCACCCTTATTCACTGTCCAGCTCTCAGATGCATAGCAAGTAATCAGAAAGACCATGGCCTGAATCAGGCGTACCTTAAACTTCAATAATTTGGAGAGGTCCCTGAGCTAAAAATTTTTAGAGCTAACTAACACTGACAGTACTTAGATGTTGCATACTTAAGGAAAAGTCTTCAGAAAAGGGCCCCAGATTTAGCTATTCAGATGTATCCAATACTTTTTAAAAACTCATTGTAACATGAAACAATATATTTATCCTTGAAAGAATATATGTATCCTTGAAAGACAAAAATGGATGTCAGAAATGGCTTATATGTGTCCTTGAAAGAAAAGGCCAAAATGGATGAGTCAGAAGAGACAGAAACACATGCTGAAATGAAAAGAAGCCAACACAAGGAGATGGAATGCGGAAGGAACAGAGCATTCTAAGACAGCTGGAGAAGACAAAGCAAGGGATTATAGCGATATGTGGGGTTAGAAAACCCAAAGGGAAGACTATACTTGGAATTTCTCAAGTTGAAAGAACTAAGGTACTTTTCAAGCCCAGAGCTGCAATACTAAAGGATTCTATGGGCAAAATATTTTAAGATGCAAGGAAGCATCAAACAAAGACGGAAAGAATATACAAAGTTGCTGTATGAAAAATAATTGGTCAATACTGAACCATTTCAGGAAATACTGACTGACTGAGAAATAATGGTGTTGAAGGAATAGTTCAAGCTGAACTGAAGGCCCTGGCAAATAAAATAAGGCCTCAGGCATTGATGGGAGTACCATTTGAGGTGTTTCAG